ATAGGTGTATAATAGACGTATAATAGATGTATTAGGGCTTGGATTTTAAAACCATAATTTTTTTTTTATAAAATATTGCATTAATGATTTGAAAACTCCACACTATACACTTTATAATGCACTAAATATAATTTAATTGTAGAAAATACTATACAATTTTTATCCAATAAATATTAAATACTTATATTTATATATTTATAAAAATAAATGGCTTGGATCTGTGTTAAAAATAATATTGACATGTATAATCTCTAATCTACCGATATAAATCCGATACTGTTCCTGTTTTAAAACTAGATTACGACATATTGTAGCCTTGTATATCAAATGAGAATTTTTTTCGTTTTTGTCATACTCCTAAAATAAGATAAAAAATTACATAACAATTGAAGTTTTTGCAACAACGCAAAATCCTAAAAAATGTATTGTTAGAATATTTAATAAATATAAAACACATTTATAGCTTGGATAGTAGTACCATCAGGAAATCCCCCCAAAAAAATTATGCAAATATGCATTGAAATCTGAGCCTTAGTTATAATAATATACTATTCTGCCGTATTCATCGTGTTACCTCATCATTCATCACGTAGAAATAGTATAGTATAGTCTCTATTATATTGGTATGTTTTTATTTTGTGAGCAATGAGCATGTAATTAACCCGTTAAATATCTCGGAGTCTGCGTACACAACAATTATGTGCTTTTGCAGAATATTTTTTCTATTTCATTTCCACATTTATAATCGCAGATATTCCCTTTTACGATCGTGAAGTACTCGCAATCTCCAGATGGTTTGACCAAGCTCGTAAATCGAAATCGTTGATATATAATATAAAAAAAAAACCCACTCGGGGAAACGTAGGTCGTGCGCAGCCGTCGTATACAGCCGTCGTATACAGCCGTTGTACAATATACAGGACCTACTATATATTAATATCCCTCCAGAGAACTATAATATTATTATTTTTTTAAACCTTCAAGAAGAGACGCAAAATCAACAGATGAAACTGGTTCTTCTCTCTCTCTCTCTCACTATCTCTATACCTGTTGTACACACACACTCACACGCACACACGCAACGCGTATTACTTAACGAGTTTTATTCACCGCGTGTGTCTTATATTACAAGCACGTCGTAAAGAATGTCTAAGGGTTGAGAATACCGAGAGAGGGTTGTATAATGTGTAACACCTGCTATACCTAGAGGGGGTTGCTGGAGTTCGGCTTTTAACCCTGCGCACTGCAAGGTGTGCATTGAAAACCGCTTTTAAGAAACCCACCGCCGCGGCCCGCAGCCGTCCCGTGCTGCTGCTGTTGTTTGGGTTTGTCTTTATCTGACCGAAACGTATAATATATTATTACTGAAGAAACGAAATCCGTTTCGATAAGACTATAAACTAGAAACTACCGCTACCGACATGTCGTCTCTTCCCGTCCTATCCAATAATATTAATAATGAAAAAAAATTCCTGCAGGAGAACCGCTTGTGAAGTAGAGGAGAGGACCGTGTGCGTTAGTCACGGGTTTCCTAGTATGAAAAAATATCTATTAATCATTCACGTACGATACGAATAAAATTAATATTAACCCCTTTAGACATTAAAATGTATGATCACGTTTGAAAAAATCTCCCGACAATCGGCCACGTGATCCGATTATGTTATAACTTTTTACATACACACACGTCATATATAATATTCTATAGTATACGTCATTATAATACAAGTTTATATTATGCGTTTTACTTTTTCGTAAAACATGTTTTCCGTGTAATATAAAAATCATTATTAGGTACTATTTGGCATTCCGTTGAATGAAAAATAAAAAATATATCGTTAAGTTATTTCTACATGATATATTTCGTTGAGAAATATCGTAGGAAACGAAGATAGTCACTCGGTACCGATTTTATTTTTTAATCATGTAAAAAATAAAACGACGATTTTCCTATACGACAATGGTCGTCTGGCGGTGAAGTAGGTAGTAAATTATTCTCTCCACACACGTCGTATAATAACCGTATCGTAAAATCCGGTGTCGCGGGTAGAACGGACGGATAAATCGTGTATAGGGTAACTTGTAAGAATTTGAAGTGCATCTCAATAATATAATGAATAATAATATAACATTATAACGGGTTACCGATCGGACGTATTATATATTTTGAGATTGTGTTCTATGCGTGCGTGCTTTTCGGTGTTGTGATGACGTCGAAAATCCGTAGGTACCACAAATACTATACATAATAATAATAATACCACGACTACGGGTTCACCGGTTTCGGGTATATACAAACGATAAATAAAAAAAAAACATTTTTTAAACGTCGTAGTCGTCGATGCTGCCGCCGCCGCGGAGAGAGTAGTACTTTCACTTGAAAACGTCGTGGCCGAGAGAGTGTGTACTCTCGTGTGTGCCGTAATACCAACGTCGTAAGACCGTAGGACTGTTTGTGTTTTCTTGCTTTTCGGTCGATTCACTCGTCGTGTTTTCTAGTGAAACATTACGATTTTACGACATTATAATATTATATTATTGTGCTTTATACACGGTCGACCGCGGTCGAGGTATAATAATAATAATAAGTCTTGGTATAGTCGTCGTTCGTACGGCGGTGGTGGGGGTGGCGGAGGTGTATCGAGCGGGCGGGCGCAAAGTGTTGGCCCTGAACTTATCCCCACCCGACGGTCGTAATTACGGCGGCGGCACTCGCGTGTTGTGTTGATATCGGAGGCCAATGCCGCTGCCGCCGCCGCCCGGACGTCGCACTCTCTCTCACCTGCAGCCGCCAGTTCAAGTTCATCGTTCCGGCAGTGTCATCCCGTCGCGCGTTCAAGTCTCCTCTCGTCGTCGTGATCTCGGCCGCCGCGTGTGTCATTTTTTACTCGTAACGACGCTTTTTGTCAGTGTCGTACTTTCCGATTATATACTATATCGTTATTATTTGTTTTGAAACGCGTGTGTGCTTGAATATTGTTATTACTTATTACTACGTCAGTGCTCGTATGCGTCAATAGTTTCAAAAACATTTTTGTGTTTCACTGTTGATTTTTTTTCTGTTTCGATACATGTCGTCTCGCTCGCAGACGGCTCGCTGTATGAGGTACGAGAAAATGATTTATATAATAATGGATAACTAAATGGGTGTTGTGGTGATATGCTATACCAGGTTGTGTGCTACCAAAGAAAAAATTCTTATCACAACGACTAGGCAAAACACGGGTTACGTTTTTGGTTTTCTATAATTAACAATCTTTCGGAATTTTTCACATTAAATTTTCATAATTATCCTTAAACTAATCAATACCCCGACGTGTGTTTTTTCAAGTCAAGTTGTGCCCTCTTAATAATTAATATCTTTACATCTTTACATTTATAATATTGTTTTGCTTGTCGTTGATATACTCACTGTTAGTATATTAGTATCTGTTGAATAAACAAAAAACCCGTAGGTGATATAAAAAATCAATGATAGTAGAAACATTATTATATGGCAGCACCCGGCTCAAATCACACTGCGTTTGCAGTGGAAAGTCTTGATATAGCATATCGAAACGACAACCCAAAATTACCTGTATTAATAACGACATGTTTCAAAGCCGTTTTCGAATATTTCAAAAGTTTTTGACGCGAACGGTGGGAGGAAAAATAAAATAAGACATTCCATCGCATAAATCGAACTCTAATTAAAAGAGGGTAAATGTATTATAGGTATGTTAATACACTGTACATATTATGTATATTAGAGGTACATTATACCTAATATATAATGTGTCGTAGTGGGTACCATATAGATTTCCATAAAGATGACATTGTAGACGACGTCGCTCGTATCGCACCTGTATATATAACGTGCGTGGAATGTGGTTTTTTAATGGACTTTTTTGAACAGTCGTCGCGATGTGACACACAGACGGGCTCAACATTAACGACCCTACGCCTATAGTTTAATATTATACATATACATACACGCGTGTTTCAGATAAACAAATGATTGCTTAGCGCGCCTAATGGGTCTGTGAAAAAAATATAGATTAACACCATCGACCACATTTTTAGCAATATTATAATATAATACATGCACATTTTAAGTATAGTGAATTGATTTGCTATCTGTGTGCGTTTTCGAATAGGTCCTTGTCTCACAATTTCGAACTCGCAACTATCGATCGTCCGTATACGTACGTACTTCCCTGTACTTGGGAATTTCCGAGGGAATTTCACAATATCGCGTGTGCTTAACGTCGGCCGTTATATCTACGGACAATCGTACCGACATCTGCATAACATAATAATGTTATTATGTTATACCGCGGTGTACGGAGAAAAATAAAAACCGTATTTGATGGGCCGGCGTCGGAGCACAAAAGATTCTATTGTGAGCGCGCAATGACGTCACTTTATTATTAAATCGCTGCTGGTCCCTCGCGTACATATTATTATAATAATGTATAATGTAATGATATAGTATAATATAAGAAACACATTCACGCGATGTTACTGCTGCTGCGTCGTAGCGACGTTGTAGAATAAAAAAAAATAATAAAAAAATCTAGTAAATTAATATCTTTACCCGTCGTCCGGGGATGGACGAAACTGGGGGAGGGATGGACACCGAGGGCATCGGTTCTCCAGATGAGCTTAGGTCTTATTTCCGGTATAGAATTCTCCACCCCTAAAAGTTTGGAAGTCGTAATTATAATAATCATACTTATTGTAATTTCATGACAAGTCCCCAGGTAGGTATATCCATTTTAAACCATTTCCTCCACGAAAAACGGTGGCGAAACACGTTGACGGGTCTTATCACACACACATAAACAAACAAACACACATATATATAGTGGACGTTTCCGAACACGTTTTACAGAAGTACAGCAACTACTACCCCGGTTATTTGGTCATACGCCCGCGGTCGACCGCGCGGCCCAGAACGCCGGCCACAAGTTGGCCGCACCTCCGCCGTTATTCACATGTAAACCGGCCGACCCGACGACATGTTGCGACTCGCATCGCAGAACGACGGGGCCATGACTTCGTCGTCCGAAGTCACCTCGTCGTCGTCCTCGTCGTCGGCGGCCGCCTCCACCGGGTTCTCGGCCACCAGCATGTTTATCAACGCATTCTTCAGCACCAACATCAACAGCCCGATGACCCGGGAGAGCTTTGAGTTCCTGCAGGACCTCGATGACAGCTTCGGCGAACAGCCCACCTACACCACCCACCAGCAGCGGTACCACCAGGACACCATCATGAACCGGTTCATGACACAGCACAACAACAATTCGTCCACCGTCCCCGTGATAACAACAGGTATATGATGGCGGTCACCTGCGTTTATGTACCAATGGAATAATATTGTCGCGTCGGAAAGTGGTCGAGGTTTACTTTTTATATTTATGGATATCGTGTGCTCTCACCGTGATGACTAGCAGGGTTAGTCGTTCATTACCGATTGGTGGGGGTTTTAGGTATCGTAATTATTTTATATTATGTTCGTTCGTCATGTTGTTGTCGTTGTCCATGATGACGACATATCGACTGTTGCTCCAGTATTACCGGTTTGGTTCGGTTCGGTTAACAGAAATTTTCTTTTCGATTCGTACCTATAAATAAAATATAATATCTTAACTCTAAAAATGGTTAAACGGTTTGGTAATTTTGTCGAAAATGGCTGTATGTATATACTGCATATTATACGATATGCCTGCGTGTGCGATAATCGACAAAACTGTGCTTTCTGCAATCCAGATCGCAAGTTTCCCCTCCGGTCTGTATCTACCTTCAGGAAAATGAACACCTCGCAGAGGCAGTATAGAGTTTTTACTTCCGACGTGTTGCTGAAAAAATATCTTGTCCTGTTGTAAATGAATTGTACAATTAATATTCAATTGAATAAACACCGCGCCTGCGAGTAGTCATCAAATTACGAAAAGAGACCGCTTATATATTATATTCCGTGTAAAAAAGAAAAAACCAAAAAAAAAATTGAATCTTATTCGCGACATACTGCAGAGCGCAGACGTATAGTGGTGAAGTAGTTGAAATATCTCGAAGTTGATCGTACAACAAACTCGTTGTGTACGTACATTATATTATACAGATAGTACGCCTACGTTTTGGCCCACAGACACAATAAACGCACATACGCACACACTAATAAATCCGTTTGAATTCTTTGCGTATTTTATTATATTTTTTTTATTTTACCTTTTTATATATATATATTAAAAACACACAAGTATAAATTGCTTATTAGTACTCGTGACCCGAAACGTCCCGTTTCTCCCCCTGACCAGACAACTAATTTTTTTTCCTGTGTCCGAACAATTATTTGTGAAACGACTATAGTGTATTACTATAAATGGTGCCGAATGACTCGGGTAATGAATGCACAACGCAGATCATACGAACGGATTATATACTACAGCAGTGTTATAATATTTTGACGGTTATTTGTCGAGGTATTTCAGTACATTGTGTTCCTATTAGATTCACCAAATAAAATAAAGAAAGGAAGGCAGTAGGTACCACTTTTTTCATCGAAATTCTAACTTTCCAGAAACTTATGGCCCCCCGCTTCCTACCTGATAAGATGCTAAAATAGAAAATAAAAGCATTTTTAATGCCCAAAAATTATTAACAGAAACGAAAAAAAATTTTAAATTGATAAATTATAATATGGCATTTTGCTAATATTATGTTAGTAGGTAGTTGGTACTTGGTAGACTAATTATTACTGCATTACTTACCAGCTACCAACTAGTACCTTCTAATCTTCTACACACGGTAATAATAAAATATTGTATTTTATTGATATAGTTGTACTCATTCATTTTATAGGGCGTAATATTCTCACGTGTGTTTTATTTATCGTGGACTTAATTTTAAACAATCACTGTTACGTTAGCGAGTAATGATCATTAGTACCAGATTATTTTTAACTTCTGTAGTGGAATTATAAATTCGTTATACATTACGTAAAAATGTTTACGTCCCAAGGATATTATACCTATTAACCTATAGGCTATAGTAATTGATATGTTTAAAAAAAATTGTTTACCAAAATAAATCACAGTTCGTGTCAATGACTGGTATAATTTATTATACGCTATTATGATTATTAATTTTATATCTATTTTTAATGCACCTGAAAAAATATTTGAGTTAAATCTATTGTTTTTTTTTTTTTTGTAAAAATATACCTAATAAACCGGTTCCGATTATTTCTGTTAAATCGAACTCATAATTATATGAGCTGTGAGTCACAACTCACAAGTGCTTTGGGAGTGAGCCAATACGCGACAAAACTTCTTAACACGTTCGTGCAACTTCCTTCCGCTCGGACAATTTTTTAAATCCTACAATATGTGTACCGTTAAGTCACGATAGGTTTTCCAATCAATTGTTAATTTGTTTTCAATTATTAATTGTGCCCATCCGGTTAAGTCATTTGAAATACTACGTTATTTAACGATTGTATTATTTTTTACGATTGTATTTTCCTCAAAGAACTTACCTTTGTAGTCTTAGGAATCGATTAGAAAATATTTTTTAGTCTGGATTTGTTTTGAGCCGTCCCAGTGACACCTGTAAAGTGATATCATCTACACTGAACTACTGAAGTATAAATTTGTTTCAGTTCACGATGAAGTAAAATGGGACATTTTTTGTTACATATCTTTGTCTATTGGAGTTTTAATAATATTTTAACTGTTTTTGTGATTTTAGCACTATTTTACTTTTATTGACATCGTAAAGTGAAAACAAATTAAAAATACACAGATAATCATTATTTTTATGGTAGACATTTAAACAGAAAATTAAATATTTATAAATACAAAGATTTTTATTTTATAATTATTAATAGTCAAAGTATTTTGGATTATCTATTTTTCTGGGAATGTCGTTACCTATTTTTATACAGGGTATAATATTTAAATACATTTTTTATATATATTATAATTTATAGTCATTTGCGTACACGTATGATATAAAGAAATTTATTTTTATTTTTAATGCTGAAAATATAAAAATTTAAATTTGATTCTATTTTTTTTGGAAAAATTCAAAATAGCCAATTTTTAGATCTAATTATAAGAACAATTTTGTTGTAAAAACATTTGTCTTAGTCAAGAAGTTTAATTTTAGAATTTTTTTTAAATTTCAATAGTTTTTGAGTAAATTAATTTAGAACGTACCTAATAACTTTTTTCAAAATATTATTTTTGGGAATTTCCTGACAAGTATATTTCTATAAACTATTTATTTATCATCTAATTTTCACATTTTTTGTCATACGTTTAACTAGCATAATTGTTTTTTATCAGGTCTTCCTGTTACACCCTGTATATACTTAAGTACCTGTATTTTCAACATTTTTATTGCATATTTAAGTGCTTCTATAAATATTTTTAATTATTATTATAGATATTTGTTGAATTACAAGTTACAAGCCCTGCTTATTACTTAAAAAAAAAAATATCTAATAATTTAATAAAAATTATATTACCAATGTAGGTACCTTTATAACCTATTTATTTTTTATCATTTAATTAAAAATGTAATTTGTATGAGCTTATATTATTATAGCGTTCAATAGCCCCGAGTCTGCATACACATTTCATGTTGATACACTGTTTTATACGACTAAATATGAGAGTGTAAATTCGAATATTAATTTTGTTCAACCTTGTACTCGCAAAAAAAAATATGAATAAATGCCATTTAAAGTACTTAAAAATTCATATCAATTGTTAACAAAACACAATCGATAAAATATGATTATCAGTCATGCGTAATCGGGTGATAATAATATAGGTGGTAGCTTATATCAAACTGAAAAAAATCGACGGTGAATACGACCCGTGCGAATATTGGAAATATTCTTTCCAATCGGTATCGATAGTCATCGGTGTAGAAGTTAATATTGTTTTTTTAAAAACCTACCGATCCAAAGAGTGAATTAAATAAATAGCTAAATAATTTATATTACACTTAACCTAAATCTATATAACATACGTCATTTTATTTTATCTACTATTATATATTATATCTGCACTTGTATAGTTTGGTGCTTGTTGAAATCCAAAACCAAAATAATTGTGTTTATATGTATCTATATTGTCGAGCTTATAAAAAGGGGTAAAGTGTATAATTGCTCGGAGTGCACACGTATATGCATACGTGTACGTGAGCATTGTTCTTACCGCCACCGCCGGTTTTACCTGCACGTTAATTATTTCTATATAATATTATTGCGAATAATATACACATTCGGAAAGTATTTTTTTTACGTTACGGAAGATTCTCACCATGGCGAAGCAACCTGAAATCACCAGCAGCAGCAGCAGCAACAACAACAACAATAATAATAATAATCACTGTTCACTTGACCGTGGCAATAGGAATGAACCTTAGTCGTCGGTTCTGTTCTGCCGAATGCACGCGCGCCTTTAGTATTTATACGCGTGTGGCGTGTACACGTCATATAAAACGGATATTATTATCATCGTCATCCAACTGAGCAAATATACTTATAGACGACCAATTATAATAATTAATAACTATTAACATTTAGTTTTTTTTTCATCCTCACACGGCGTACGTATAGATATCTCCCACAAAGTGCAGAGTGTATCACAGTGTGTGTATTTACGCGTGTATAACTCTTAAGTTACCTTTGGCCGTGTGCCCTCCACAATACCACTGTGTATAGCCGTGTAGTCAATTACTTTTATTTTCAAGATTAAAACCTCCACCACCACATCCAGCCATAGGCGTGCGCAGCCTCCGGTTTCAGGGGCAGCAAGAGATTAATTCGGCCCATTTTTCAAATTCGCCATTAAAACCAGCCCATAGTTTTACTTTTTTTACTATTGGATATCAAAATTAAAATTGTATTGGTTATTTGTTTTTTTGGATAAAAGGTTGTACCGTAAGGTACTAAGCTACTAAAGGTGTACTTTTCTAGTTTTCTATAAGCCCATATAAAATATTTATCTATAGTTTATCAAAACAAAAAAAAATCCTTTGTGGAAATATAATTTTACCGAGGCCCATCATTTAATATTTGCCGGCCCCGGTGGCCCCAAAGAAAGTCCAGGGGCAGCATATGCTGCCTCTGCTGCCCCCGTGCGCACGCCTATGCATCCAGCAGATAAAGCCCGATTTGAAAAAAGACTGGACTCATTTTTCGACTATCGAACAAATCCGAGCGCGTTTTTCAAATCAGGCAAAAAGTCCAAAAATAGATATTTGACTCCCTTAATTATATAATCTGATTAATAGATAATAATAATAATTTATTATTACTTATCAGCTTATTCGATTATAATTTATAATTGAATAATTTGTATTTTTGGACTTTTAGACAGATAACTCTCCCAATCTCCCAGTTCAACCCGTATAATACCTATATTATTATTATAGTTAAAACGTCTCCTAGTAAATGTATTATTATAACTGCGGAGAATATAGAAAAAAAACTTATCATGACGGAAAACTATGTAATAACAACAATGATAAAAGAAAAAAAACCAATCTTGTTTTCCATTTTTGTCTTTCGTTCTGGTTGTTATCTAGACCGCAGATCTTCGCGGTTTTCTGATTCTACGGCCTTCACGGGCTGCGAGTCTGTTTTTTACTCACTTCATACGTCGTCATCTGTTCCGCTCGTCGACCGCACAGATTACTCGGCGAACGAATAATGTAATGTGCGCACAACCGTTTCCGTCGTCAATGTCATGTATACGTAAAATGTAAAACACTAGCACGTAACTGCGAGTCGAATTTCAGTCAAAAGCTTTCGATTTTTTTCCCTCCGCATTTGTCGACGTTTCATATCGCTTATAACGACAAAGATGACGTCAGGTTTCTTCCTTCTCTCGCTCCCCTCAACGCCATAAACAACACTATCGACCACGTAAAAATGTTTTCTATTATTTTTTGTTATTTTAACAAGCGCATTACTACTTACAGCTTTTCATTCTTTGCGCGCTCACAATACACAATCGTCATCGTTGTCGTTAACCGGTTTCAGTTCCTCGAATTCTTCTTCGCCGCCGCACGCCTTCACCGAGCACATATTATTATTACCTCTACAACTGCTGCTGCATCGCTCGCGTCTCGGGACTCTATTTTATATTATTATACACATTACACACACAATATTATACGAAATAATAGCGTTTCGTTCCCGTGGCGTTCGAGATCGATTTTTTTTACACAATAGGCCTCCGACGATGCCGTATTATCATTATTATCGTGTGTGAGAATAATATACCTAATATATATTATATGTTTTAAATATTATAATAATATGTACGTACAGAGAGATAGATAGAGAGATTTACACTCGACAAACCGGTCTAAAAAGATTGTCTTCTCCCTGCAGTTAGTCGCAGACATCGTTTTCGCGCATCGGATACCCAGAAATCGAGCGTCGTCGACGTTTGCGTACTCTGTGACGACGCCTCCGCCGCGGTCATGGTTACGTACCGCGGTGGTTCCGGTAATTACCGCGAAATATATTCCATTTGCCACCGGCGCAGCGGTGTGTGGAGAGCTGCGTTCGATGAATATTCATTTGGTTTTAACGTCGAATAATTAACATCTGTCCCAGTACGTCCGGTGCGCGAAACCCGTGAACGAAATATGCGAGTAGGTATACGCGAATTTTATATCAATTTTATGTTAGCTCCTCTGACATCTGCAGCGGCGGTGGTCGTTCCTCGCGTTGTTTTGTATACAGTCCACACACATACACACACACGCACACACACACACACACGCACACGCACACACGCATGTATACGCATGCGTATACATGCGACTTATCCGATAGATTTATCGTCGGAATGCGCTCGTTTTTATTTATTTTTATGTAAATGTGTGCGAGCGTGTCGTGTGCGAGGTCTCTCGAGAATTTCTGTTGGGCTAGGTCGCGGGGGGAAGAAAAAAATGCGCATCTCGCCAGACGTTTAAAAACAACGCACACACGAAAGCAATTAATCTCTCGGGATTCGTATTTTTTCCCCCCACTTACCATACAACAATAAGGCAAAAATGCCGCGTGCATGTGTGTGTGTGTGTATGTGTGTGCGATATCTATTCGTTTCTATTTCTATACATAAAATGTTATTACTATTGCAAGAGTGCTGCCGTCGTGTCGGCGACTGTTGCGAAACACGGACGGCCTTGAACGTCGTCGTCGTCTTCGTCGAGCGATTTTTCTTTGGAATAATAATAATAATAATGATAATAAAAAAAAACTCGTCTATTATATTATATTATTATTATTTACTCATCCGGTCGCTTTTTACGTCGCCTTGTATAGGCGTGATCGAGTCCGTTTTCAGATTTCGATCGAATGAGAAAAATAACAATGATATTATGAAGTAAGCGACAGAGGTAAGAAATAATTGTATACCCACCACATCATAAGAGCCAAATATAAAGTATCTTAAGAGAACTAATCGAATTTTCGTTGATGTAACTCGAAATATTTCATTTTTAACCTGATTGGCTATTAGAATATAACGGTAAAACAAAAAAAAAAGGATTTTGGAATAAAAAAGTATTTTGAATAAGTATCCCGGGGCATTAATTGCTTGCTCGCTGTCTAATGTCTACTTTTGGTGCTTTTTTTTAAACGCATACCGCTAAACAACATCGTCGCCCGCATATAATACGGACAATCGCGCGAGTATATTCGAGGCCCGCGTATAAACAAATAACCAGGCCTCCCCCGTCGGCGGCGGTGGTCCTCTGGTGCGGGTTACTTGGGCCAGCGTCGACCTGTGCAGGACATTGCAGGTCACAGTCGTCATTCTATTATAAATAACATTATTATTATGGACACCGTTCGATAACGCACTGCGCAGCCACAAAATAATTACAACGACACGATACTATCCGATTCGAGGGGCATTAACCCCGCGTGACGCAATGCCGCACATGGTATTATTTGTTATTATATTGTGTACAACAAATATGTATTCATATTATATATTCGATAAGATTTTTGGAGGGAAAAGATATGTGTATAATAATAATGTATAGCCGTATAGGTATATTTCGTTCTCGATCACAAGGTCACTGGGTTCGTCCACTCCACGACCGCGGTGTCGGTCGTTCCCAAACAGGTTTTCGGGTTCTGTTTACTTCCTCTTCTCCCACACCCCGGCCCCATATCCACCACTCACCCGAGACGAAAGTAAAACATAATATTATAATATAGGTACCTACAAATTATATTCTAATATATTAATATATGTACTATATATCGTGTTGTATTGGTATGTAATGGATGTTTTCGTTTTTGTTTAACCGTTGTTTTTTCTTCTTCCATGTGCAGTCAAAGAAGAGTTGTCTCCGCCGAACAGCCTGTCGGGGGTCAGCAGCCATTCGGATGGGTTGAAGAAGAAGAAACTCAACCACTCGCCCGTGACTGGCGTCGTCAACACCGCGGCATCGGGCCCCGGTGGCGGCGTTGGTGGCAACGTGCTGAACAACCGACCTCCCGAAGAGCTTTGTCTGGTGTGCGGCGACCGGTCGTCCGGTTACCATTACAACGCTCTGACATGCGAAGGTTGCAAGGGGTTCTTCCGGAGGAGCATCACCAAGAACGCCGTGTATCAGTGCAAGTACGGCAACAACTGCGAAATTGACATGTACATGAGGCGGAAGTGCCAGGAGTGTCGGCTGAAAAAATGCCTCACCGTCGGCATGAGGCCTGAATGTAAGCGTTCCACTATAATAGCCGTATGTTTATAACAAAAATAGAAAACTGATAAATCACAGAAAAATAAAATATGTCGGATTTTTCCGGACTGCTACAGTATAACCTTAATACACACGCGAAGCCTATTATATGTAGGAACACTGTTATAGTATTCAATTTATGTACATTAATATTGAATAATAGTTTGGTCCCCGGATTTCAGAAGAAACCTGCAATTTTACGAGCGAAAGACCATATTATTAGGGCACGTTTAGGCACTGGATTTAAATTTTTATTTTTATTATCGTAGACATAATTCAAGATATTTGCAAGATCTGACAAAAAATACTTATTTATTAATACAATAAGTCGGACCAATAAGTACAAAATAGGTGTTTACTAGTTGCATGATCCCGCACCATCTTTTGAGATTTTAGAATTTTTTTCTTAGTTTTTGTAATTAATTTAATCTAGAAAAATAGAAAATCATACTGCAGACTGCAGAGGGCCACTCAAAATATTTTTTTTCCCTTGAAATCCTCTATTTTGAATTTGAGTGACGGTATTAAAAATAAATTGTATTTAAAACGGTAACTTTATGTAAAAATAGGTTAATTCAAAAAATTTAAAATTAAATTATATTTTTGTTTTCCCACGAAATACCATTATCGATACATTTTGAGTAGAGTTAACCTTTATTCAGTACAACAATAATAATTATAAACCGCAATTAGAAATGCATATTGACAATCTATTGATAATCATATATTTTATTAGAATGAAAAATATACCACGAATGTTAAAACCAAAATTAATAATAACGCTTCAAAAATACACCTCTGTCGATGGCTATTGCGTTTCTTGAATTTTCTGATGAATGATGATTTGTTATTTTTGGGAATTGTGTTAGGAATGTTGGGGCGGGGGCGTGACAATCTGTGCAGCCCATAATAAATACTGAAAGTAAGTTCTGAATTAAATAATCTTACAAATGTTTATTTAATAAAATATATTATTATTATTATTATTAATTGCTACGTAATTAATGGCCATACAATCAAGTACATTGTCTCGTTAAATATGATGGTATGCATAGGTATAGTACAAGTTCACAGTCGACCAACCATAACATAACATAACTCATAATAACACGGAGTCACGGACATTTTACTATAAAACATGTTACATACTTTTATGCAAACACGTATATACACTATACAGTATACATATTGCGTAGTATTGTATAGCCGCTATTAGTTTAGAGAGATAATTAATGGAAAAGTTTTAATTGTGTATATAGAACAAACATTTTTATATTTTGAATTGGTACCAAGAGACGAGGAATATTGCATGGTCTTATCAATATTATACGATTAGTGACTTTTATTTTCATAACAATTTATGGACATTGAAAAAATTTAAAAAGCTTTGGGCGGCACATGGGTTGAGAATTGAACACTAGTTGTATATTAGAAACCTTTTACGATTTTGTCAAATTTGAAACTCCAATCACACATTTTTAATAAAATATGTTGGACAAATATCGTATACCTACACAGTCGCCCAAAATCCAAATCATACAATCTTCGTATGTAAACAAAATAATTGTTTTTCGAATTGAATGAAAGTCTGCTGCATTATAGGTTAGTACATTGTCTCACACGAACCAGGAAAGTGGCCAATTGAAAGTTTTCTTTTTTCCTGTGGTATTTATAAACACGGGTCCCGGTGCTAACTATTCGATTTACGCATATCGTCGATATCTTGTTCGAATATTGTCCATTTACTAAATTGATTGTGTGTGTGTGTGTGTGTGTGTGAAGGGGAGGGGGTGCCAAGATTTTGTGGTGGTTTGGTTGGTGAGTTCGGTTCCGCAATAAACCTAGAGATTACCACTATTACCGCATATACGTCTTATACATACTCGTATAATTTATCATTGGCGAATAATACTATAGCTACGACCGCTGCACAAAATATCATGACGTGATGGCACGGACGGCACATATCCGCAATAACGAGAATTTGAATACTCACACCGTGTAAACTATGACAGAAAATCGAACTTGACCAAATCCCCGCTCCCTCCATATAATAGGTAGTCGTGTAAGCAACCTTGACCGGCTGTGGTAGTTATGGCACTATAGCGAGCTTTTTTTTTATGGTGCGTACGTTGACCTTTGTCCGCCGTTATTATACTATATTATTACAATGGTATCGATCGACTCGCCGGGCATTTTTACTCGCGATTTCACACCGCATACTAAATTACGGTGGGTCTTGAATTATCGTTTCTTGAATAATAAATGAATTTCAAAGGCAAAACACGTAGAGGTTCAGAAAACGTGGTTCGTATTGCCGTACTACCTAGCCGCGCTCGATTAATTCGTGCATTTTACCTTGCCCGACGACGGTACTAAATAAATGCTCTACACTAGTCCGGTGTAGTGTAATGGCTTTCTATTCGTATCTGTTGTTTTCGACGTGGCCGCACACGCACAGACAATCATCGGTCGCCATGTGCTATTATAGAGACCTCAACATTATATTATGGACTTCGTGACTGCATGTCGCGTCGTTATCTTATTTTGATTTTGAAACGTTCACCAGGATGAATGGTTAAAACCAAATCTTCTTTTACGGTTTTTCTAGTATTCCGTTTAATAATAATTACGATAATAATATAATATAATAATCCTAAATTTTTCGATTTATGGGTCATTTCAGAACATATTTCTGACGTTTGACAAATAAACAATAATACTTTTAATAAGATTCATTGGCTATTTCTCAAAATGTTGACACTAATTAACACCGTCGGCACACTCGGCAGACTCGTTAGATCATACACATATTAATGTTTATGTTTAGGTATTATTTTAATGTGTTGTAGTGCTATTATTAAAATCTTAGAACTACATTTTATGTAATAAAAATCTTGTTTGACTTATATTAGGTCCTGCGATAATACAAGTATTTTTTTACTCGTTTAATTGTAGATGTTGTTTTTGTATTTTTGTTTTAATAATTATTTATACCCCATGAGTATGTCTTAACGTTTTGAAGCGTTTGAACATTATAATAATCATTAATTAGACATTATGTCTCCGAGTGAAGTCCATTATTTTAATGGGCAATTTGGTATTTATATAAATATTTATCAAATAAATCTTTTAAAGTTGTTATAATATATCCATTCATAGTTCCAAGGTAATATTAACGTATAACATCTGTAAATTGCGCATCGAATAAATGTAATAGGTCATTAATTTTCTATTAAAATGTATACTAATAAATATCTAATAAACATACAATTTTAATTATTTTAAATTGTGGTGTGCCATAACATGTTGTTATGTTGTTATTTTGACCTACAAATATTTGTTTAGTTATACCTTAAAATGATTGCATAGTTTTTAAATATGACATTGTTTTTTAGGTGTTGTACCTGAAGTTCAATGTGCAGTAAAAAGAAAGGAGAAAAAAGCTCAACGAGAAAAAGATAAACCAAATTCTACTACAGATATTTCTCCTGAAATAATAAAAATAGAACCTACAGAGATGAAGGTAATTACATTCATAATAACTTCTGTACAATTATTTCATATTAATATCTATAATGTTTGTTTTTATCTTAGATTGAATGCGGTGAACCAATGATAATGGGCACGCCTATGCCGACTGTACCTTACGTGAAACCGTTGAGTTCTGAACAAAAAGAACTGATCCACCGACTTGTCTATTTCCAGGATCAATATGAAGCTCCTAGTGAAAAGGACATGAAACGTTTAACAATAAATAATGTAAGTACTTGATTAAAAAAATATATCCATAATCCACATCGGTAATTGTAATTTATTTATTTATTTATTTTCATAGCAAAATATGGACGAATACGATGAAGAAAAACAAAGTGACACCACATATCGAATCATCACTGAGATGACAATACTCACAGTTCAACTCATTGTAGAGTTTGCCAAACGATTACCAGGTTTCGATAAACTTGTAAGAGAAGATCAAATCACTTTACTCAAGGTAATTATTTTCCATTATAAATACATTTTTTCTGTACGATTGTCTTGATGTTATTAATTTTATTTTGTAAATATAGGCTTGCTCAAGTGAAGCTATGATGTTCAGGGTAGCTAGAAAATATGACATCACCACTGACTCAATAGTGTTTGCTAACAACCAGCCATTTTCAGCTGATTCTTATAACAAAGCTGGGTTGGGAGATGCCATTGAAAACCAACTGTCATTCAGTCGGTTTATGTACAATATGAAAGTGGATAATGCAGAATATGCATTGTTGACAGCCATTGTCATATTTTCAAGTAATTATAATTTACTAATTTATGAGTTATAACTATGCTATATTGCTATAGTAAAATTGTAGAAATTAATTAATTTTTTTTTCATACATTTTTAGGTAGGCCAGGTTTACTAGATGGTTGGAAAGTGGAGAAAATTCAAGAGATCTACCTAGAGTCCTTAAAAGCATATGTAGATAATCGAGACCGTGACACAGCAACTGTAAGATATGCGCGACTTCTCTCAGTACTTACAGAGTTGCGTACATTGGGCAATGAAAACTCCGAGCTATGTATGACACTGAAACTGAAAAACCGAGTAGTACCCCCATTCTTGGCCGAAATATGGGATGTCATGCCATAGTAAATTGCTTCAGCTAGTTACCTTGTACCTGGTCACACCATTAGTGTCACTTGGTATTATTTTGAAGACTGTCAATATTTTTGTTCGTTCAGACCTCTGACAACCACTTGGCAAATATGTGTAGCTCTGAACATCAATTTGCTATTGTTCTACTTCTTGGATGACTATTTAAATTACAATTACAATAATCTTATTAAAATAGAAATATTGAAAATTAACTATCTATCTAGCATGTCGGGTAATAACTAATAGTTCATGTGTTGTCTTAAATGTGCTTAAAAATAGCTAAATATTTAAAGTTGAAACTGTAGGTAAATTAGGAGTTGTTTTTAAACACAAGGTGTATAGGAAAATGTTAGCACTCTTAGATTTTGTATTAGTATGTTTGAATTCACTCCTAAATTAAGACATAGTACTGTTACACAGAATTTGTTTTTAACTAAGAATTTTTAACTATGAGGGTGCTATATTGTTTCTCTGTTATCCTCGTGTGGTTTTTGAGACTGTATGTTTTGTACCTGCGTGTTGGATTTTTTCTTTTTAAAATTATATGTATATAAATATATATATATATTATATATATATTTATAAATGTTTATCAATAAGCCAATTAATTTTATTATAACAAATTTATATAAATATATTTTTTTTTTTATATGAAATGTAAGAAACATCATTTCTATTCGCGAAACTGTGATATTAGTTTATAATAAATTGTATATGATAAATAATATATTGTGTATACTAACATCTATTAGTTAATAATCATAGGGCGTTTGATGTAAACGTGTACAAACATAGGTTCAGGGCTTTAGGTAAATGTGGCACTCTTTTATGTACATAATTATAATATTATTATTTTTTTATTACTTATTATTGTTATGCTTTCAAAACCTAAATAAGCAATTCTGTTAATGGAAAGTATTTTATAGCAAGTGTATTTAATTACAAAATATTAGAAACCGTTTTGATTAGATGAAATTCTATATATTTTAAGTACAAAAACAAAATTACAAATAGGAAATTAAAATAGCTATTATTAATGTGTGTTTGTGTGTGTATTGAGATGAAGACTGTAAACATCAACGTTTAGATATTTATATTATTTTATTATTATTAATATTTTAGACCAATTGTCTTCTAATTGCTTTACTGATTTCTTTCTTAATGATCAATAACTTTTAGGCCGGTTATCGTTTTCCTTTTTTATTTATTATTTTTTGTTTTCATTTAATATTAATTCAGAACATTTTTGGTTTGGTTCAATAGCTTTAATGATAGCTTATACAATTATAACTTCAGTATGATAGATACTTATACATTTTCCTTTACTCTGATAACCATATATTATATTCTTTTTTTTATGTTGTTTTTTGTTATTGTCAGTAAAACCAAATTGATGTATCCTACCAGTGCAATAGTTATCAAGTTTATTAAATGTTGTCCATAGTTTTGTTTTCACGGAAAAGGAATTATCTGGTGGTATATAATTTTATATATATTAATTAAATACCAATTTTTCTTGGGTCATAAGTGTAATTGTTTGTTTTTAAGTAGATGGAATGATTATAATATTTATAAATTAGGGTGTACTTGGTGTGTTTTCTAATATTATTACTACTAGATATCAGTTATTTGACACAAATTATATAATTTAATGTCAGACAATTTAAAAAAAAAAAATTCTGTTACCTGCTGCATTGTAAAATCTTCTCTGTATAACTCAAATTAATTAAGTTTTGTTTTTTCCCATCAATTTGTCTGTCTGTAACATGATTTCTTCTGTTTGAAATTACATTTGAGTACACTCTAAATCTACTAGTTGAAGGTACCCACTGTTATATTTCCTTAATATTGTAATTTATTTTAACAACACAAAGAAAAAGTTATATTACTGAGAGGAATAGTTAAATGTGTTGAAAAAAAGCTCTGTACCAATCAATTCAATTTGGAAATTCCTATCTGATATTATGATATTTTTAAGAGATAAATAGTTTATATAATTTGTAGATGAAATGATGTTTTTTACATTCTATTTATTTGAGTTGATGTCTTTAGTAAAAACAATTTCACTCGTAAACGCAGAAAAAACTGCCACTTATCAGTTTTAATACAATTATATATTTATAATGTTATGTACATTTTTATGATTACTTTTGTGCAAATGTTAATTCTTAGGAAATTGAGTGTAATTTTAATATTTTTTTTTGTAAAGAATTTTTTTTTTTTAAATACCATTGAAAAATGATCTTGTTCTTTTTTTATAGAAATAAGAATGTGTATTGTCATAAAAATATTATTTTGACCATAGAAAATATAAGATTCCAATGTTAAAAATGATGTGTTACGTACAACAGCCTCACGTTTGTTTCCAAATCTCCGGTATTCTATTTTTTATAAAATAACATTGAATTAAAATATTGTATTCCATCAGAATATATTTATTCTATACAAGTTTAAAAAGTGGCCTTAATTTGTAGCTAGTACCAAAAGGTCAAACATTTAAACTCTTATGTTTAAGAGAAAGAGATTATGACCACCGTTGTATGAACTGCATTCTGCACCAATGACACTGTTTATGTTTAAAATGTAACTCGTTTGACCTTGCGCGTACTGGCAACTTTGGAGTGTACCATTTAATTTTATCATATCTATGTAAAACTATATATAAAATATTTAAATATTTAAACGAGTTAATTTTAACTTAGACGTTTTATCACGCATAGAATTTCTAAATTCACTGCCCTTCGAAACGATTATGCCGTATTTCAGCGCACTTGTGCAGTTAAATCTCACATGCCACTGCCATTTTTTTCTTTTTATACTTAAAAAAAAATTTATATATAAAAAAAATTGTTTTTATTACAAACGTTTGATATTGTCTCAAGTAACACGTTAATACACTCTCACTGTATATCAGTGTATGTAACCCGTGTAGTTTCTTTAGAATGCTAATATTCTGGATAAAAAAAAAAAAAACGTTCTACAAGTATTAACGGTAATTAGACATTTTTGTACTTTTTGTTTTTATATTATATTTTTTACATGTATATAAATACGCCAAGTACATTCTTTAGTTGCGCTTTTTTTTTTTACGAAATTTTGATATTAGCTACAATTCGGTTTTATAGTAATAAAATATATTTATAATAATACTACTACTATTACTACTACTACTACTACTACTACTAATAATAATAATAATAACAATAATATTAATAATTATAATATTATAGTACGCGAAAAAAAATTAAAATTAGTACTTTTGTAGATCACGATTATAATATAACTACTTAATTTTGAGTGTATATTCTAGTGTGACGCATTGTATAATATTGTGTAGACAGTTTATAGTTTATAGACGATAATGATATTATTATTAAAGTATACTGTCGTTAACGTTTACCGAATAGATACGATATAGTGTGTGTGGGACCTTCAGGTTGCAGCAAGCTAAATAATTGTGCTGTAACCGTGGTAGGTAACGAATACCCACGACATGTTAAGGTCTTTAATATATTAATATTGTAACTACAATTATAGTTAAATTGTTGTTAGATGCACAGTAAATTACAACAATAATGGTATTTTTTTTTTTTAATTTTCCATTTTATACTTTTTTTTTCAATTGGGTGCGCATTAACTCCTCAATGAGACTGACGGGATGAGAATTATGTAAAATACGGCTGAAAATATGTAAAAATGTATTATCATATTCTGTGCAGCAGTAAATTTAAAATCCGATGTCCATCTATTGTACGCAGGAAAAAATCTTAACATTTTGTTTTATTTTTTTCCAATTACCTATTCAATTATTGTTATGTTCTACGACAAAAATAGAATACTGTTTTTTTTTCTTCATATATCCGCGTTGTTGTGTCTAGACGTTACACGAGATAATTTGTTTTGATATGTACCTAATGAAAGACGAGAAAACCTATTGGCGCGAGCGTGCAAAAAAAAAAAAATTGTATATTCATACGGAACATTTTGGAATATTATAATACAGATAAACACTGTGTGACGAAAACTATTAATTAACATTATATATATTATGTTATATTAGTACGGAAGAGAGCTGTTGTTAAAATTACGCGGAACACATTTTGTAAAAAAAAGAAACATAATATGATAAAAAAAAAAAATAAAAAAATAAAGGACTATATAATAATATTTATTTGTTATTGTTTTTTTATGGTATTATTATAATATTGTCGATTTGTCTTTCAGTTTTTTAGTGCCGGTGCCAAAATGTTAGAAGGCCAATGTTTTAAATCATTACCAGACAAATGGCGCACCATAATCTATAGTCAGATAGCCATATAATACCTATGTATAGCACTTGAGCAGTATATATACCTAATACCTATTAAAGTGGCTGAAGGTGATAAGATTTAAAATATAAACAACTAGGAATGCAATTTTTAGACATTTTGTTGGGAAATTATAAATTTTTGTTATTTCTTATTTGACACGATTTGATGATTATTAGGTACCTACTTGACTTTTAGTGCATGTCCAGTGATTGTAATATGAAAAAACAAAAACATTGTGTCTTATAAAAATCATATTTTTATTATGATTTCTTCATTATGTATTATAATATATAGGTATCTACATTATTAACATTATTGGTTTTTTTATTTAAATAACATTAGGTAGAACCATTAATAAAACAATAATAATAATAATGGTTTTAAAACTCTTATCAGATTCGTAGTATACTAGTATAATATAAAACAAAGCATGCCGCATGGTCATACAAAAGTTGAATATCGAGCTAAAATCATAGAAGGTTATAATGAAGGAAATAAACAAATTTAAATAATCAAAAACACAAAAAAATACCTATATGAGCAAAGGCATGCGCACGGGTGGTGCAGGGTATGCAAATACACCACCTGCGGCTGGTGTTTGTTACAGAAACAAATTGTTTATTCAATTATGTAACTAATTATACATTTTTTCATACTTTTGGATTTTGGAATAATTCAATACTG